CGTATTTGAGCGTCAGGTTTGCCATCTGAAGAAAGGCTTGAGGCAAACACCTCATTCTTGTGTATCGTGCGCGTGCAACAGTTTAGGGATGCTCAATACGTTTTGCATCCGCATGAAGTTACTTAGTCCGTGGTTCGGAGCCACGACATGGTAGCAACAGTGGTAGTAGTCGTCGTCGGAGTAGGAGTGGTCCCAGCAGTAGGCCAGAGGAGTAGCGGGAGCTGTGAGCCGGAGGAGTAGTAGAAGTAGAATGAGGACCAGGAGGTGTAGGAGTAGTAGGAGTAGTAGCAGTAGTAGTGGCAGCAGGAGTTGCAGGAGTAGTAGTCGTAGTAGTGGTGGTAGTGGCGGTAGTGGTGGTGGTGGTGGTGGTGGTGATGGCGAGGGTGGTGGTGGCATTGGCAGTGCTCGTGGTAGTGGTAGAGCTCGTGGTAGTGGTGGTAGTAGTAGTGGGCTACTGCTAGTACTAGTGCTCGTACTCGTAGTAGCAGTAGTAGCAGTAGTAGCAGAAGTAGCAGAAGTAGTAGTAGTAGTAGTCGTCTTCGTCGTCGTAGTAGTGGTAGTGGGAGAAGCAGCAGTAGTAGTAGCAGCAACACAAGCAGTAGCAGTAGCAGTAGGAGTAGGAATGGGAGTGGGAGTAGTAGTACGTAGTACTAGCAGTAGCAGCAGTGGTCGTGGTGGTGTTGGTGGTAGTAAAAACAACAACAGTCAGTGGTAGGTAGCGGCAGTAGTCGTCGCGGAAGCAAGCAGACGATGTTTTTTGTATGGTGCCGAGAAGCTGTCATTACGAAATAGGATGATGCTAATGATGACGGCAGCTGCTGTTCTACGTGATGGTTATCATCACGATAGCCACGCCGAAGGTGCACGGCCGGGGTTTTGCTCGGTGTTCCTGAGCTGCCCGCCCAATGTCACCCTTCGCTGCTGGCTTTGGGCTGGACGGCTTCGCAAAGAGGCTGGTTACTTCGGTTGACAAGTTTTGTCACCTCGGATCTCTTGACTGGTTCGCGAGGCTGAGTCGTTGATGCCTACTGTCTATTCGTGCATTGCATGATGCTTCGTGTGAGGTGTCAGTGCCTTTGGGCGTTAACTTAGTAGAACATAGGAGTACTTCCAAAATGCATGTCGGCAGGCGCGGCAGGAGCCAGCTGAGCAGCCGGAGCTGCATGGCTGCAGTCTGGGAGCATTCTTAGGTGGGCTGAAAAGTTGTTTTGGTTCGGTCCGTGCCGGCTAACCATGCCTTCGCTGCCGCTGAGGCTGCTCGGGCGTGTGAACTTCGCACGCTTCGAGTACCATGGCTACAACAAGCACAGCTTTCTCACGGGGTGTTCGACCATCTGCTTCTCAAGCCAGTGGTATGAAGCCCAAAACATGTGCTGCCGTTGAAGGAACGTCATCGATCCAGTTGATGAGTCTGTGGAGCTCCGTGGATGTAGCATTTGCGAAATGTTTTCTGCCATCTTGATCGGCTGTTGGAAGATATCTATGAGATAAATTGTGCCGCAACCAAGTCAGCTTCTCACAAGCCCTGGCCAGCAGAGGCTCGTTCTGGAGATCGAAGAGGCGCAACTGGCATCCAAGACAACCATGAGCGACTTGTTGTCATGTGGTGCCGTGGAGCTCCCCATGAATGGCTCGCCATGCGCACTGAACAGATAAAAGATAAGGACTAGGAGCTGCATGAGGGACTGTTAAAGCTGAGGCAGCCAACCGATGCCGATTGAAGACGGGGCATCGCGTATGGATGCAAGTGAGTTCAGCAAACAAGGACCGGCCGGGTGCTAGGTGTTTCGGCAGTGGGGCGATGACTGTCATCAGGACATGCCGTTCAGTCAATGTCGGAACCATCCAAGACGGCCGTAAGCTCAGTATGTCAAGGCAGCCTTTGCGATAGATGATTAGCAGCCAGCGGCCTGCCTGTCCTGCAAAACAGGATGGCCGAATCGAGCGTGCAGATGTGCAGCGGACGAAGCTTCTTGGCTGAAACGTGCACGGCCAGCTTCGGACGTGATAGGCAAAGCAATTCAACCGCACATGTCCCCTCAATCATTCCGAGCCTCCAAGCTGTAGAAGCAAACGCGTGCTGGAGAAAGGCGGGTTGAAGACTTGTGCATGACAATGCTTCGATTTCATTTCGTGATCCGTCCGTCTTCCGCGTGGGATTGCCAGCGAAACGCGTGCCTGGCCAGGATCCAGCACACCGGAGGCAAGCCGCCTCCAGAGAGCGTTCAGCAGCTGCCCTCTATTTGGACAACGCAGGCCTTGGGTCTTCGTTCCCTTTTGATACCACCAAACGCAGCCTCTTGCGCCGCCTTGCGTTTGAGAAGCATCCGATGGCAGGGGTTCCACAGCTTCGGAGACCTCGAGGAAGGGACTTCCACTCGTGCAAACACCGCCAGCACGGCAAAGGCCGGCCGGAGGGCCCCCCACCACGGAGTCTGCGTGCGATTCTGGCAGACCTGCAGGTGGTAGGTGGTGTGCGCTTCTCTCATGTGTCTCCGCAGTGTCTCCAGGCCGCCTCGACGAACCAGTCGTCTCCGACTCCACGGCTCGCAGGACAATGCATCGGCACTCGTTCGGGGCGTGATATTGCCGGGTGGCCACCTAGCATCGCTCAGCTTCAAGCGCTGTTTTAGGGTTTACCGTTTCAGGTGTCTGTGCAGCCGAGTTGCAAAACGAGTTACAAAATCAGATGCACTGCCGCATGCAGGAGGCAAGCCAGGTCCGCGGAAAGGCAGCGGGCGAGCCCCTCTGTGTGGTTCCCAGCGAGTCCGGCGAAGAACAGTGGAACCGTCGCGGATCTCCGCCCTGTGACTCAGGTCTGCGCGGGAGGCCAAGTACAAGGCGCGAAGGGCATTTCTTTCTCAAGATGCGTGGTGGGTCGCGCACGACGTGTCTTGTGCATGGAGATTCAGGCAGCTGTAAGGTGGACGATGTTGCAGTTTCCCAGGAGTACAATCAGGGCAGCCAACCGTTGCCGCAGCCCTCCTACTGACCTGTCTGACTGGTCTTCCGAGCCGGGAAGGGAAGGTGCGTACCTCTGCAATGACCGAGCGGCCTGAGCGGTCTGAACCCACCTTGAGTAATGCAACATCATCGTAAAGGCGCTGCAGCCACCCAGGCCCACCCGCCGGCATTGCAGGCGACGCATTTGTGGCTGTCCCGTTGTCGTGCTTGTACGACTCCTGCCCGTCCCCAGCATGTCATGAAGCCCTACCTTATAGAGGCAGCCAAGAGAACGAAACAGACTCCAACGAGCCACAGACTTTTTTTGGCCAAACTTGCGCGCTTTGGTGCAGGCCACCTGTATCACATGTCTCACCTCAGTTTCACTTTATAAATGTACTCATCTGTCAAGCTATCAGAAACCAAGGAGCCACGAAAAAGATTCAGGATGCGAAACCACAAACTAAGGTCATTCGTATTCACATAGTCTACCTCCATGACGTGAATCAAACTACTTAGGGTGGCGCTACCTAGTGCCTCTCCGTGAGTCATGCTCCGATGCGCCGTGACCAAGTTGACGGCACACCATGGCTTTTAAAAAAGGCTCTGCTCCGCTTGTTCTGCTTCGGTTTCGTAGCTTTGTCGTCGCATTTGCAAGCCTCCCCACGTTTGGTCTGGGAATTTACCGTATCGCAAGACCTTCCAAGCCGAGAAGGGAAAGTTGACGATGTCTACAACAATCGCAGCATTTAAGCCGTGCAAGATACCAATGCTAAGATGAATGTGCCATACCCAGACTCGGCTCCGTGAATCCCCTGTGCCTGTCGCCATGAGCGATGCCTCTCAAAAGCTCATATTTGCTGCTGCTGCAGGCAATCTGGAGCAGGCGATGGCATATTGTAGGAATGGGGAGAGCAATCGTACCACTGCGAAGAACAATAAGCGTCCGAAACATGGGGTGGTGAATGTGTGTGCCGACATCCCTCGAAGTAACGATGAAGTAAGGTAAATTATGCAAAAACGAGAACGGACACCAGGGCACCTGCTTCAGGTTGAGCGCCTGCTCCTGAAAGAGTTTGCCGACGTTGAAGCGAAGGCAGCGATCCTGACGAACGGCATGTCGTTTCTGAATCTTATGTGAGTTCCGACCCCTTTTTCTTCCCGCAAAAGAGGACGGCGATGGGCAGACTGCTCTGATAGCCGCTGCTCGGGCAGGCCGGCTGAAGGTGGTGCAGAGGCTTCTGGAGTTACGGGGTGACATCGCCCTGAATGCCATGGATGATAGTGGTCGCACCGCCTTGGACCATGCTTCAGAGAACGGGCACAAGGAAGTCGTGGCATTCATGACTGCTGATGTCAGCCTGCTGAACTTCAGCCAGGGCCTCATGCCAGCAATACAACGGGGCGACGAGAAATCGATGAGCATTATTCTGAAAGCTGCAGTTCCCACAGCTGGACAGCCGTGGCCGTCTTGGGCAGATGTAAATATGCGCGATGTCAGGGGCCAGCCTGTGCTGCATGCAGCAGTGAAGTCAAAACGTCCCGGCTTGTTGGCAGAACTTCTGCGCCAGCCTGGGCTGGAAGTCAACAGCCAAGACCGCTATGGTCGCACTGCACTGGACCTCGCAGTGGCAAACGGTGAGGAAGAGATGGCCTTCTTGCTGCAGAAGAAAGGGGCCAAGCCCAGTGATGATCTCGAAGACTAGTGACCAGTGGAACTCGAGCGCAGTGTGTTGGGGGTTCAGGTGGGCATGGTAGTCTAGGATTCCAGCGACAGCGTCTCTAACATCCCCAGCCTTGGTCGCTGGCCACAGCTTGCTGCAGCCTGTGGTGGATCTGACACGGCATGGTGCACTGGATGGTGGGTCGGAAGCGTGTTGAGAGCATCACGTGCCAGCTGAGAACAGTAGGATTAGGATTTGCGCTAGAGGCTGTAAAGCGTGTCAAAAAGGGGTGCAGCCTGAAGTTTGCTGCGCATGCATGTCTGAGTCCCGTTCCTGAATTCCATCCAGCTTAGAAGCCCAATTTCTGGGTCTCCCAACCTGCAGCGTCGGCAGACTTCCCTGGAGATGTCCACGGATGGTTCACATCAGTACGAGAAGGCTGTGAGAAGCAAACATATCCATCGCATTTGAGATGAGATTTGTACGCATTGTGCGTAGAATCGCAAACTTCGCAGGCCAAGAAGAACGCCTTCTTGTTCAGCGCGCAGAGCGCGTGGACCTCGGCTTGTCGGAGGTGTGCACCAGCAGAAGCTTCTGGGAGCTAGCTTCTTCATTTAGCGACGGGACGAAGCAAGCTCTGCTGGGTAAGGGCTGTTTGGTTATCGTGGACTCGTTAGATGTCCTCGCTGCATGAGGTACCAACTCGCGATTCCATCAGCAGTCTGCGGCTTGAAAGCTGGCACAGATCACGATGCGAGTTAGCCGCCAGAGCTGACTCTTCATTACCCGGTGGTGTTGGCAAGCCTTTCTTTGCATGCGGGTATTGGGTCATAAGTCTCCAACCACTTGCTAGTGTTTTTCCGGCACCTGAGAAGCCAAGGTCAGATTACAGAGAAGAATTTGCCCGGAACTTTACCAAAGCGGCATTCATGAGCTGCAAGATAGTTGGCCATGTCAAGTTACGAGCCCAGCAAAGCAAAACGAGGCTGAGCATCGCTGCGGACCCTTGCGCGAAGCTCTTTGGATTGGTTGGGGCCTCAGTGGTCCTCGAGGACGCCTGCTCGGTGTGTGGGAAATGTTTCTAAAATCTATTGCTCCCAACTGACCTACTGCCGGGTTTCCCTGAAGGTGGAGTCGGACTTCACTCCGCTCTCGCTCTGCCAGGAGGGGCTGACTCTGTCCAACAGGCCTCAGGCGGCCTCAGGGTAGAGAAGCTCTGGGCCTGCAGAGGATGCGAAGCCGTACCTGGACCAAATCGCCTCCGACGAGATTTGCGAGGGTAAGCTTAAGGACTATGTGTGGGAGCCCAGCAGAAACGTGGCCTGAGGGTGTGGTGGGCGAATGGCAGATGCCCGATTCATAGAAACCTTCGCCTCTGTCTCTCTGGTTTGTGGTGGGCACTGTTGCAATCAAACGGCTCAGAACAGAAGTGTCACAGCCGAAAGTCCTGGCACGGGCCATGAGCACTACAATGAACTACGGGTAGGCTCGAATGCTCGAGCCACTTATGCACACTTCTCTGGCAGCTGGAGCATGTGTGGACCATTGCAAGGTTATCCCACTGAAGCAGATCATTTTCTTCCGCTTGATCAAGCAACTGTCAGAGGCTCCGGTGACGTTCATTCGATTCACGCGTCACCCATGTCAGGCTTGATAGAAGATGAGTGCAAGATAGGATTCGCAGACTGAACAGTTGAACAATGTCGGGGACGGGCTGACTGACACCTCCACCGACAGGTGTATGTGAGCATGACCATCGAAGATTTCGAGAATGCGGCATCCATTGTGACGCAGCCTCATCCACAACAGTCATTGCACTACGGCTCGTCCAACAGGTGCGAAGGCTTCGGTGGAACCAGGTTGAAACCCGGCTAAGGCCCTTCAACATCGCAGAGACATGGATGGCGAATGCCTCACGTCAGCAAGGTGGGAGCATGCCGGCTGTTTCTTGTGGTTGCTGAAGTGAAATTTTCTGCTGGATCGGCCGATCTCGAGTTGTGTACACTTGCGCCCGTGTGGCAGGCATCAGCATTCAGATCAATTACATGCAGAAGGCCATCATCTTTGGGGCGCCGACCAAAGTTGACATGCTGGAGCCTTGACAACTTGCCATTCAGTGGCACATTTGACATGACCATTGTGTTGTCCAGCCATCCCTAGGAAGAGCATGCGTCAGCCGCTTATCGAAATTGGCAATGGGCTCAGCAGCTAGCTTGCGACAGCTCCGGCTGACAAAGTTGGCGTTGACATTTGGCCACGTCCAGCTCGTTGCATCTCTTCGCACACGGATAGTTCAAAATGCGAGTTGTCTTGCCAGACAACGAGGCTACAAGCTGCAGCAGGCAGGGTTGTCTGGACTTCCTGATCGAATTTTCTCGAGATCTGCACAATATGGTGCATGGGTGTATTGCCATATTGCTTCAAGGCTAGGCTGCTTTTTCGGCGAAGCTATGCTCTCTGATCCTGAGGCCATGCAATGCGTTGCCCAGGACCCGCTGGCCTTTGGTGGCAGTGGGCACTGATACAATGTGCAGCTGCTTCATGGGCAATCGTGTATCCGAAACACATGCAGGAATATGCTACTTCTGATTTATGGTTGCGGGTTTTCTGCTGCTGCAGTGGTTGCGACGTCCCTGCTAGATTGTTTGGCATCATAGAGCTGAGTAGAGTTTGCAGTGCTGATGGCACATGTAGCACCTGAAGGCTGTTGGGATGCTGGGTGTTGCGTGCATCGGCAGGAAGAGCTGCAGAGAAAGGACAAGCTTGAGAAGCAGCCGGGGCCTCGCCTCCCTGTCTCTGAACTCAGCTGCGGCGGTATGACATGTCTTGCGACTTCCGCAGCTCAGCCTGGGCACTGAGGCATCTGCTCACAAACATCAAGGAGAGGATGGAGCAGGACTGGCTTGGGGCGTCTTTTTGATGTCCTTGGCCTGCTTCTGCCATGATCTGCACCGCGCACGTGCAGGAGACGAGGTCTATCCGACAGCGAAAGGAGGAGATCGAAAGGCGCAAGGAAGAGAGTGCGACACCCAGTCCACGCCTGCATTTCAACAGCGTTTTCGAAACGAGCGCGCCTGTCTGGTGCATTCTTTCCGTTTCCAGAGCCGCCGTAGAATCAGCCCAGTGAAAACCCTCCCAGGCAGTGTGCGCCACCCCTATACCAGTAGCATTCCGAATCTGGCAAGCATCAAGAGCGAGCATCTGGCTGAGGCGAGCGTCGCAAGCAGATTCAGGAGAGGGAGGCCGCGACCTCATCTAGCAGGAGGGCTAGACTACTACTACTGCTACTACTACTACTACTACTGCTGCTGCTACTACTACTACTACTACTACTACTACTACTAAAACTAACACTAACACTAACACTAACACTAACACTAACTACTTACTACAAACTGCTATCTACTGAAAAACCTCGCCTGGCTTTGTCGAGCGCGAGTGCCGAAAACCTACTAACTACGACTAACTACTAACTACTACCTATTAGCTACTAGCTACTAATTACGAACGACGAAATAATAACTACGGACTGACTACTGCCTACTGACTACTGACTGTTGACGACTAACCACTAACTACAAACGACAAACAACTACTAACTCGAATTGCTTACTAACTACTATCTACTGCCTATGAACTACTAGCTACCAGCTGCTAACCACTACTGCTGAACCTACTATTACTACTACTACTACTACTACTACTACTACTACTGCTACTACTACTACTACTACTACTACTACCACGACTACTACTACTACTACTACTACTACTACTACTACTACTACTACTACTACTACCACGACGACTACTACTACTACTACTACTAGTACTAGTACTACTACTACTACTACGACTACTACTACTACTACTACTACTACTACTACTACTTGTGTTGTGGTTGTTGTACGGATGCAGGCCTGTCCGTCAGGGAGAAAGCACGCTCCAGTGGCCAATTGCTGCATGTAAATAAGCACCCCTTGTTGATTCTGGGTGTTTTGTTTTTGGGGTTCGGTGTCATGGTTGTCTTCGCTATCATGGTTGTCTTCGGTATGACTTGCGATGCGGCAACTGTGCAGAGCCCTGTGCTGTACAGTGTGATGTTGTCGGTGATGCAGGCCTTAGAGTACTTGTGGCCTTAACCTCTGTTTTTGTGTTTCGAATTGGAGGCCTGCGTTATCAGAAGTCCGACTTTACGTAGCTGAATGCATGCTTCCAGTCGTCGATGCTCATAGAGAGCCCCGCGGAGCTGGCAGTGCCGTGCTAGGTGGGTGACAAAACTACGACTACTACAACGACTACTACTGCTACTGCTACGACGACGACTACTGCTACTACTTTTTCTTCCACTCCACTACCACTACCACCATTAGCGATGCTGCTGATTCCAGTTTTGTAGCCACTGCTGCTGATCCTGCTATGAGAGCGAAATCAGGTCCTGATAATGTCAATCTGTCTGAGATGGGCTTGCACCTTGTTTTGACTTTGAGCATCCTCCCGTTTTCACTGAAGTTGTGGAGGGCTGAGGTTGCTTGAAAGAATTGTTGGTGAGACGTGCAATGCACTGCGGCCACGAGTCGCCGGGACATGTATCCCGTCTCCTCGCTAGGCTTCGGCGAGAACGGAGCAGCGGGTGCATGTACTCCTACTGCTACTGCCACAACTGCGACTGCTACTGCTACTGCTACGGCTACTGCTACTCCGACTGTGACTGCTGCTGCTGCTGCTGCTCGTGCTGCTGCTCCTTCTCCTGGCTCCTACTCCCACGGCCACTCCCACTCCCACTCCTACTCCTACTACCCCTACAGCGCGGGAGCCGACAACCTACTCGTACTGCTCCTGCTACCGTGACCGCTGCTTCTGCTGCTTTTGCTGCTACTCCTGCTCCTGCTGCTGCTGCTGCTGCTGCTGCTGCGTCAACGGTTACTCCGACGACGACGACGACGACGACGACTACTACTACTACTGCTACATGACTCCTGCTGCTGCTGCTGCCAGTGCTACTACGACGACGACTACTACTACCAGTGGTGCTTGCACTACCACTGCACCAACTACGACTGCGACGACGACCATCACCACCAGCGCCGCCGTTTCCACCACCAGCAGCAACAGCAGCAGGCTGCTGTTCCGTACTCCTCCGGTTGCGGCCAGGTAATTCGACGCGCAGAACCAAGAAACCACGTTGCCCGGAACGCAGTCCCCCCTCCCAAAATGCATTTCCAGGCTATGGAGCGTCAGCGCAAGGAAGAGGCGCTGGAAGCCGAGAAGGAGCGTCGCAGGCCGGATGCTCCCGGGTTTTCGGGGATTGCCGGAGGGTATGGGGTGGGCGATCTTAAAGGGTTAAGGGTGTAGTAAGTAAGCACCCCTGACTTCTGTTTTAAGTAGCGTTGTTGCTCGGCTTGGCCATCGGGGCAGAAGAAACCTTTGAGAGCTTTGATGCTAACTAACTTTGTTCTGGTGCCGGCAGCCCCCAAATGGACAGGACACCATGCGAACCCCCTCATTTCAAAAGGAGGAGGGCAACCATCTGACATGAGTGCAGAAGCGAAGCCTACAGCACAAAGGCTTGAGGCAACACTTGACAACTCATGTGCTCAACCAACAAGGAAGCAACCATGCCAAGGAAAAACCAACAAAAGCTCTCTCCTCTCTCTCTCACACACACACTTAGACATCCATCGCGCAGCCACTAATCAATTTGGTTATCAAGCACAGCTTGATGTATCTCGAAAGCATGAAGCTTCCAGGGGGGTCCGGTACCAATCTGGCCTCAAGGCTCATCTTCGCTTGATCTCAGACTTATTCACTGTACAAGGCAAACTCCTCCAAACTTGCACATTCGATTTCCATTGGGGTTCTAGGCTTAGCCCCAAGCCATATCACTTGCAGAGACACTTGCAGACACACTTGCAGGTACACCAAGCTGATCAGGCTTGGCTTCCCTCTCTGATGCATAGCTTCGTTGGGTACGGTAGCATCAGAGAGCCGTACCCCCCTGCTATTTTCAGCAATTCAGCACTACTGTCCAACGTGTTTCAAAAACGGTTCCTCTTGGTAACAGAGGTCCACACACACAGTAAGCCACTAAGGCGAAGCAACCTAGGGTCTGGACTCCAAACGAGGACGGTTTTCGTCCGAATATGGCTCAGCCCAGTGAAAGGTCAATGGTACTGTATTGTTGACAGTACTGAGTTTGACAAAGTACGGTAAATGAGTCCCGCTTTGCGTAAGTTTAAACGTACGCTTGGGGATGCGATTCCACTCCAAACTGATCATCTCTTTAAGGTCGTCGATAATGCCTTCGGCCGGAATGTCGAAACATGCAACCGTGGCACCATCATGGCGGCCACCGGAAGGCAGATTTTCAATCCAGAATCCTCGGGTCATCCGCAGCGGAGGCAGATGTTTCGGTGTCCGAGGGAGAATAAGTGGATCATCATCTTTTTCGCCATCAGGTGGAAGCGACGCTTGTGCAGCATCTCGTTTCATGGCAGAAAAAGCTACACGTACACTGGGTCGCTGTTGCGTGGGGGCAGGAAAACTGTACAGGCGAGTGCTCTCACTGTATGCAAGACAGAAAAATGTGAGTCAGGTCACAAGGTCATGCCAAGAATCTCTGGTAGTTTTTCCAGCAAGTGACATGTAATCCTGTACACGTCCGGTGTCCAAATCAAAATAAGAATCAAACGTTTCGGTTGGGACACTGTGCAACATACCAAAAATGGCAAGCACAACGGAGGTTAGCTCTGACCAGCATTTTTGCACAAGCCTTTGACCGTGCTGCAGGATTTCGGTGAAACTGCATCGGATCCCCAAGCGTGATATCACTCGCTTCAGAGGGAACAGGTGAACGCTCACGTTTGTCCTTCTTAGACTTCATGGACTTCGGAGACTTATTTGGTGACCGGTCCTTTTTCAGCCTTTTGGACTTCTTGGACTTCTTGGTCTTCTTGCACTTGTTGGAGGACTTCTTAACCCAAGACGCCACCTCTGTGGGTGCCGAGTCTTTGGGAGGATCGAAAGCCGAAGACCAGGAGCTGGCATCATCAGGAAGGTCATCATATGGTACCCCGTTGTCTTGACGGGAAGCCATGCCGGTGTGTCGAGAAATCAAGACGGAAACGGCTGGCGGCACCACATGAGTAAAAAAGGAAAAACGCCTTCGGCTTCACGAGAGACAAAGAGAGAGAGAGGGGAGAGAGAAAGGGCTAAAGAGACATAAAACCGAGCGTAACGCTCCTACGCGCTGTTTTGCAGTGCGCAAAGACGGTTCCACTTCAGTGGTGCAGGCGCTCTAATCCAGTAATGATGAAAGTCCCAAAAATGTCAATTGGGAAAACGAATTAAGCAGACAAGTCGTCTGCTGTTCCAGCATGACAAAAGCTCTCACGGTGATGCATCTCGCTTGCGTTTTCGGGGTGACAAAGAATTAGCGCTCTCAGTAGGGAGGTTCAAGTCCACCGAAGAAGTGGTCTGAGAAGCTTGGTGCCACTGATTGTCAGCAGCCAAACGATCCGAAATCCAGCGAGAGGTGGCGGGAAACCAAGATTTCCACCACGTTTCATTGCCATTGGGTCCTTGATTTTTCACCCAATAAAATCGCCACGAAACAGTCGGAGAACGCGATCGGGATCGATCCGACATGGCGTGTACCGCTGAAAGCCGAACGCTGGAACTGAACAACGCAATTTAAAGATCCTAAGCGGACACATTGCATGCAAGACTCTTCTGCATATACATTCTGTATTGCAACAGTCTTTTTTCCATGCATGAAAGACTCCATGTATCTTAAGCCTCTCTCTGTACATCGGAGACCGGTAAAGCTTCGGTGCTTCGTACAGAGTACTCCAAGCCAGGCCAGCTGACTCCCCAATCCTGTCCTTCCCCCGTTTCAAAAGTAATCGGCCGGGGATTGTTGGGGGTGGACATCGGCAACGTAACGGAAAGGGTGCTTGACAAAATCCAAATTTTGTCAATGCGTCCTGCGGCTTCACGCACCGCCCAGCGCTTATCACCTGAAGGGGAGTGTACAAGCGGGTGGAACTTGCACAAATGTCCTTCATGTACAGTGCTGGAGGACTTGGATTTGTGATGCGCAGATCCAAGGTATCCTCCCACGACCACTCCTGCGGAATTCTTCGTGGAGTGGTGCAGTTTTGACACGAAGTCTAACTTGCTCTCTTCATAGTGCACGTGTTGTGTGGCTTTGCCATAAAAGGAGCACACATGATCGTGCGGCGCCACATGTACAGCTTCGGCGCTAGAGCGAATGACTCTGCCCAACGTGAGGATGCCGACCAGGCCTTCGGCCGTGGTCCCGTGTCCCCAAAGATAATAGCAGTTGGTCTGCTCTTCAGGTCCTGGCATATGTGCCACTGGAAACTCCCAAACATGCAATGCTTCTTGGGGCATGGCATACGCCTTGGCATCATGCTGAAAAATTGTCTTATATGGTATCTTGCTGGCCAAAATGGACCGGGCAAGAGTGACAACCTCCCGTTGGCCAATAGGAATCACAGGCAGAAAAGGTCGGTCTGCCTGGCCAAATCGGGTCAACAAAAATTTCAGCACATCCTCAACATCCTCTTTGAGGATTTTTGAGACTGGCAATGAACGTTGCCGAGTAAAAGTGATGCGATCAGTGAATCGTCGCATATGAGAATGTGGGATAATAGGCCACGTATGCAAGCCTTCGGTTGTGAGAAAGTTCTCATGATAATGCAAAACAAAGAACATATACGCCAAGAGAGAACTCATTCCCTCCTCATAGAAATCGACAGCATTGCGGCCTTTGGCTCGAGCTGTGATTTGCTCTCGCAGTTGTTCATAGCTGCTGCGATGAGCAGCATGAAATAGCTGTTCCTCATCAACAGAAATCAAACCGGATTGAGCAGGAGGAACTGGGCTCTTTGGAGCCGAATTCTTGGGAGGTGTCTTGGGCGCCGTGTTCTTGTGAAACTCCGTTGAGGGAGCTGCCGCAACAGGCTCCTTGTTATTCAAAATCGGGCCTGTCTCCGGTTTGCTTTGTGCATTGCCGGGAGCTCCAAAAGCTTGAGCAGCCCGATGTAATGTATCAGTAGCTGCTTGAGAATGTGAAGCAGGAGCTCGAACTCTGGGTGTTACTGGCCTTTGGCTCAGAGTCCCAGCAGGAACAGTAGGTACCCATTGCCCCGGCGGTCGCTGTGGACTGTTGCTGGGCCCTTTGTTTTCATGAGGCCGGGAACGGACAGAATCCGGCTCAATAGATCTCGGTCTAGGCCGGGGTGGCATGTTTTCTAAGCTGGCAGAACGAAAAGGTGGGCGCATCGGAGGAACTGCACTGACCGACCTTGTTGGTGGTCGAGTGGGAGGCTGCGGGGGAGGCAGAACTGGTCGAACTGGGGCCGCGGGAGGTCCCTCAGGTTGACGTTCATGCCGATGGTGTCGACGCCGTCGTCGTCTCGAGCGACTGCGATCATGACGCTCACGGCTGGGGTGAGTAGACCTGGCCGGCTCACCCGGTGTGAGTTGAATTGGAAGCGGAGCTCGAGGTGGTGGGTGTACCGAAACCGACCGAGCTCTGCTAGCTTCCTGAGGAGTCGAAAGAATTGTAACCGGAGGTTGTGGTCCGCTTGAAGTCTGCACTCCAGGGGGTCCTCCGTAGAAGTGAAAATGGTATTGCTGGGCCATGGCTCGGGGTTGAAATATTCCTTCAACAGGCCGATACCCAGCTGAAAACCAATGTAGCTATGGTACTGAATCAGTAGCTCACGTGCACAATTAGGAACAACAACATTGCAAAGAGGCAGCGAAACTCTCAATCGAATGGCTTGTTTGTTGACTTCATTGCAACGCATTCACAGGAAAACCTGCCTGTACATACAGTTGCTTGAGTCTGCGAAGTTGTCCCGGTCTTGACTCGGGGGGCCAGGAATACTGGCGAATCAAAGATGCTCGAGAAAAGTATCCCGAGGCTGCCAGCTGCCACGATCCAGCGCTGTTGGGCGAGCGGATCTGCCACGGTTGCTCCGGGAGATTAAAAGTTGCTGAGCGAGTCTTGGCACAAATGGTAAAACCCAACCATTGATGGTCTGACACAGTTTCCAACTGAATCCCATCATAAAAGTTGGGATCGCAGAATCTCCGGAGTTGGGACGACAGTAGAATTTTCTGAGGTCCCAGAATCAGTCTGTTATCGACGTAACGGAGAAACAAGAAAGACGATTGGATGGCCGTCGGCAAAGATTGCAAAAACTGCCGTTCGGCCAGGAGTACAGGAAGTCCGGAGAGGATCGGCGATATTTGATTGCCTATACACGTCCCCTCCACTTGCTGCCTGCACTTTCCAGCAGCTGTAAAAACTCCCGTGGCGAAGGATAGATCCACAATCAGCGGAACATCAGAAACCCAACACCTCTTTAAGTTTGATTTCGTTCTCCCCCGAGGTTTGCCCGGGTGTCCCGTTTTTGACAACATATCAATCGAGAGGATCGAACAGCCAGAAGTTTGGCAGTATTCTTGGACAATCAAATGCACTGCGTGCATGATGTCTTTTCGGGGAACTGCATTGAAAAATCCCACGAGATCGTCGTTCCATTCGACGTCTTCCTCTTGGCTGGGCTTCGCCCAATAAGCATGAAGAGACCTCCAGAGCTGTGGCATGCTCTGCATGCCTGGGCTGTCAGCAAACAGCGTCTTGACCATTAAGGTTAACGCAATGGAGGTCAGCTCCAATAGTTTGCTGCACAACGAATTGGAATACGAAATGATGGTCCGTCCCTTGGCAAACTGTTTCTTCCGTTTCAGGAACACAGTGCCTTGAGGCAGCGGAGCTGCTTCTTTGAAGGCCCAGGCGTATCTTCTGGACAGATCTCGAGGAACGCGCTTCAAAATGCGCTGTCTCCATTCTTCAGGGGTACCATCAAGAGTACGAAACACAGAGGGATCGTTCCATGTGGTGCTAACTCCTCGAAGGAAGAAGCGAGGACAATAGCACACGACATGATTCGGATGATGATCTTCGTTGTACAGAACAAAATCCGAGTGCAAGGCAGACTTCACCTTCTGTACCAAAGCCCAGTTTAGTCTGTCTGATTGTTCCAGGGCTGCAACATGTTGCTGCCACTGGTGGTCACAAAAGGATTGAAAAATTGGATGCAACGTCGCTGGTAGCTTGTGTCTCTTGAGCCACTGATCAAACAGAGCTCTGGACTTGGCCATCCAGTGATTGCGGCCTGGGAAAAAGGTGCTCGCGGCACTGGCCGATAAGATGCTCGAACAGCCTGGTAGTAGCTTGGTCAGGTTCTCCAAACCTGTGGCTACGTGGCCAGACACGAAGCAATGAGTAGGAAGTTTTCCTGCAAACTGCTCACACGGACAGTGCACCGACTCCAAATCAAAGTCGTGCTCCCACATCGTTTCTTCCCAAGATCGGAAGTTGTGGAGAAATTTCTTGATACTCTGGTGCGGAACTTCACGTAGGCTGTTCTTTGGAACATGAAAAGATGGAAAAAGATACTTATACCGGAGGATGAGGTCTTTTAACCACTTCTCGCACTCCTTGGAAAACGAAGGAGACGCAGTTGGCAGGACTCCCAAAGGTCGGGAAGTCCGTGGCCAGTGCATCTTCTTGCGAAACTTGGCTACACCTTTGAGTATTCCTTGCACCCTGTTGCGATGAGGGTTTTCGATATTGCGACTGAGTTTGATGAGGGCATACACTTCCTCGTCAGCCGTCTTGTTGGATCGGAGCAGCTTCGCTGTTTCAAAGGATGTTCGGGTTCTCGATGCCAGCTTAAACAGAAGCCCCCAGGCTAATTCCCGAGAGTCATGAATGAAGAATTTCGAACTGCGACCAAACATGCGCTTTCGCAGTTTGCGCCAAAGTCGGAGGCCAAAGGTGCAATACAATGACCCTCTGCGTTTGGACGAAATTCGGAAACCGAGAGCGGTCTTCTTAATGAGAGACATTGCTCTGGGATAATTCAAAGGTGCCTGCCATTGAGCAATGAGTTCGTGCTCAACAGTCCAAGCTCGCTGGTAGCTGTCACAAAATTCTAGCGGAACAAGCACAAACTGGAAAAGGTTGTGTTGGGATGCCCAATATCTCAGGGACAATTCTGCATCCACAAATTCGGTTCTTTGAAGTCTTCTGTAGACTGCCATGCGGTTCAAATGCCGCTTGGCTGCACCGACAGCAGTGCTTCCCACATACAGAAGTGATGAGGGCTGACGGTAGCCCGAACGAAATCGACCCATGTCGAAATCAACTTGAAAAATGCAATATACAGTGTTCGGCTTCTCAAACAGAGAATAGTGCAGAGTATCTGGATCCACTCCGAACTGCTGCAATCTCCGAACAATCTTGAATCTGTGCGAATCGTTTTGGCTGGGTGCATGGAGGTAAAACAACAACACCAACGACATCAATGTATGCACCCAAATCAGCGGAGTCTTGGGTATTCCATCGCCAAACTCCAACATGAAAGCTGCTGCTGTACCAAGCGTGCACACTGCTGAAGCAAGCCTCTTACGGACCTGAATCGGCTGATGTTGCACCGTTTTTGCTTGGGTAGCTAGTCAAGCTGATTCAAACTGACATGCACCAATGAACGAAGACAGATTGGTGAATGACATCTTGCTGGCATGGCTTTTCTTCAAGCCGACTTGATAGCAAGGTCTGCCAGGCTTTGTCGATCAGTGGCTGAATCTTTCAGCACAGAGCAAACATCAGCCACATGTTTCTTAAAAGCTGCAGCTTGACCACGAAACTGGCTCTGATGCTTTTTGAGCCATTTTTCAACAACATCAGGGGAGCTGGAACTCGGAACAAAGTTCGGCGGATTCGGGAGTTCCGCATTCAAAATCTGCTCAGCTGACGGTGAAGGTGAAGCGGTGGGCTTTGGGCCAGTTTTGGCCTGCTTCTTCTCTGGAGTAAGAGCAATCCCAGCTTCCTTCAACTTTCGCTTCGCACGAGCAAGCTGTTCACTCTCAGGCGATTGCTGGCTTGAATCCGCCGAAGGGGGCGAGTTGGCTTTGATTGTTGAAACAATCTCGCCGAGCAATGGTTGCATAAATCTCGCAGACTCCCTGTGCTTATCAGGCGGAGCTGGGCCGTGCATATTTGCAGCCACGGCATCAAGATCGATACGGTCTTGCCGGATGTGACGAAGCAGGTTAGTCACAAACACTGCTTCTGAAATCGACCTCACGAACACTAAGCTTTGAAATTCTCCATTGGACAAACAGCGGAGACTGAAGTCATCAAGACCTTTTCTCGTCAGGTCTGAAACGCGAAGATCGGCGACATCTTTTCCAGCCAGTCCAGCTTTCGTAGACCAGGGCGTGGATTGGATGTTACGAAAGAACTTCTTGCCAGAAATAGCATTCTTGTCGTAACACTCCCAGTCACTGGTAAAAGACGATGGGATAGCAACATTGGCGCTGGGAACAGACTGTTGAGGAGATTTTTGCCAGTCACGGTTGTTCCAACCCGACGATCCTTTCTTCTCCCAAGACGAACTAGCCCAGGACGACTTGGCCCAATCTTGTTCACGGGTCCACGACATGACCGCAAGAGATTGCTAAAGGCTTGTGTCTCGGAGCTGAAATCGTGGTCTGCGGATAGAAAAGCCGTTGGTTCCATCGGATCTGCAAAAATTCAGGACCTGCAATGAAACCTGGCATCAAACCTGACATTAAGTCAGGAGCGGAGAAAACATCACGACTGAGGTAATCAGATGTCTGCACCATCGGAGCAGCAAATTCAGTCGACTCTGTGAGGACCACGACGGGCCCAAAACAATGTATCCCTGCCTTTATCAGATCCACCCTGGCAGGTACTCGCACGGGCTAACCCCGCCGCAGGTAGCGCGGTAAACGAATACAAGACCAGCTTGTAACTACCTGGGACACACTTAGACATCCATCGCGCAGCCACTAATCAATTTGGTTATCAAGCACAGCTTGATGTATCTCGAAAGCATGAAGCTTCCAGGGGGGTCCGGTACCAATCTGGCCTCAAGGCTCATCTTCGCTTGATCTCAGACTTATTCACTGTACAAGGCAAACTCCTCCAAACTTGCACATTCGATTTCCATTGGGGTTCTAGGCTTAGCCCCAAGCCATATCACTTGCAGAGACACTTGCAGACACACTTGCAGGTACACCAAGCTGATCAGGCTTGGCTTCCCTCTCTGATGCATAGCTTCGTTGGGTACGGTAGCATCAGAGAGCCGTACCCCCCTGCTATTTTCAGCAATTCAGCACTACTGTCCAACGTGTTTCAAAAACGGTTCCTCTTGGTAACAGAGGTCCACACACACACACACAACGGAGGAGCCAGGGTGGGAAAGAAGAAAACTTTGTGGAAACCACCAGGATTCAACAGAATAGCCAGTTTGTACCGCTTCCTGCTTGAGGCAAGAGGAGGAGAGAAAGCGCCGCGAGGTTGAGAAGCAGGCTCCCGTCCTAAAGCAGGAGAGGAATGGGATGGAACGGGAGCTGGCAACTGCAAGGAGCAGCGCAAGAAGGAGCAGGAGCTGCAGAAGAACCTGGAGGTGTCAGGGCCCTCGGAGGACGAAGCCCCACGTACGTCCGCAGATGTGTCTCGAATTCTGAGGCTGGAGCAGATGAAAAAGCAGGCCGAGCAGAGGGCCACCAACCTCAAGGCTTGCGGATCCCCTCGTCTCGGGCTGTGGTTTCCTTCTGGAGTCGCGAAGAAAGACTTCTGAAACGAAGTGAAGCCTTCCCTGTTGTGTGTCTTTGACCTCGTCACCTCGTCGTACGGTGCCGAGAACCGACGGCATGATGCAGGTCGCCGGAAAGAAGATTACAGAGTGGATGCCTTAGCCACTGCAGCCAGAATCCCCATTTATTTGATGCGGATGTTTCTGCCTGCGACTTTTGGCACGTGTTAAGTTTGCAACGAACAGACGCCGAATTGCTCGCGAACACAAGTAAAGCAAACTTGGTAGGCGCGAGCGAACGTACACAGACACAGACAGACACGCACACCTACACCTGTGCCCACGCCAAGAATTCACGTGCAGGCACATGCAAATGCACACTGACAGTAGCAGGTGCGCCTGTTCACGTGGAAGAATGAAAGATTCAGGCTTCCTGAGAATACCATGCTTGTTGCTATTGGTTGACTGCGATCCTTGCGACCCACGACTCCTCTAGTCCTGATTCAGATACTCTTGCATTCCGAATCCAGAAGCTAGAGGCTTGAGCATAGAAAGTAGATTCGCTCGCTGGTATGGCTTTCAACCCTGTGCGAGCCAGCCCCACCACTTCAGCAACAACACCTCCCGGCAACGCCGTCTGATCTAGTCTCGCTACAACGGCATCCAGGCATCCACCAGTTTCACGAGAGATTTGGGCTCTCAGGATCGAGGCCGATGACCTGACCAATATCAGTCGAGTCCTTGGCACAGTCACAGGCTTTCTGGCCTCACGTGAGGCATTGGTGGCAATTCCAATTCCAATGACCATGTAGATTGTTGTTTGACTTGGTCATCGTGCTCGGGTTGCATGATTCAACAGGCTTCGATCAGATCGAAAAGGCGCGTGAGGCCCAAGTGTTGAAGGAACGCCAGGACGGACCCACCGGAGATGTGGTTGGTCCTCTGTTTGCGCGTCAAGAGTCCGTTCTGTGAGGACAAGATCCGCCAGCGCAAAGCCGAAAGCAAACGCGGCTCCTCTTGAAGATATGTTTCGGCTGTAGGGTATGGAGTTTAGGGCTGAGGGATTGTGGGTCGTAGACTGGCGAGACTTGAGTCCAGTGGCAAAAAGGGCTCAGGGATCATGTGGGACGAAGAAGAACGGGCCGGAGAGTTCGGACGATGTGAAAAAGAGTTTGAGCCATGTTGAGACCCCAGGCCGAGAAGGCCCAGGCATGTGAGAGCAGAAGTGATTTCTTGTCTGTGACATGTTTTGACATTGCACGTTGCCCTGGGAGATGGCTCTGGTAAGGTGTCGATCACCTGGCCCGTGCCTTGCGTGAGGAGGCCCCTTGCTCTGATAAATAAGCTCGAAATAGAGGCGACAGCCGAGGAACGATGCGACGGGCTCTTTTTCGCACGTCCCGGCAACCCGATCTCGCAAAACAGGAGGCATCTTCGCTGAAGCAGTGGTCTGCGGATGTCGAGAAGGTAGATGCGGAGCAGTCCGGGTCTGAGGGTGGCTTCCGAAAAGCTTGAAAGCTTGCTGCAGGGAGGGAGTGTGGCAGAGCGAGATCGCCTCGAGGTTGGAGAAGTTCGAAAGCGCAAAGCAGGAGGAGCAGCGCAAGCAACACCAGAATTTGTCACAGCCTTGGCTACAGATCCTGCACGGGTTCACACTACAGATGCAATTGCTGCGCTTGCACGCAGTTGGCCTTCAGGCTGAAGGAAAAGGAAGAGCTGCTGCCGTTCCAGCACGTGAAGGATCGTTTGCTTTCTTAAGTTCCATGCTGAGTGGCGTACAGTTGCTGCTACTGGAGGCACTTTCCAGAGTGCTTGTATGGAGCAGAGCGCAGGGCTTTTTTTCGCCACTCTGTTTAACTTTACACCACTTACCCCTGTTCCGCTCGCAGGACAATTGGGCTGAGCAGCAGCTGGAACCCCGACGTGCCTTGGCAGCACTGGAATTGCTTTTGGGTGTTGGGTCTTCTTTCGTTCTGGTTCCGCCGGTCGAGCAGAATGATGTTTTTGCTCAGGGGTCAAGACGTTTTTTCCACGGCATCTGAAAGCACACTTCACTTCGCATGAACCGTGACTTTTCGGTTTTAGCCCGAACGAGCTGCGTGCAGGTTTGGACTGGGAAGAGGAGCGTGGGGCGCAGATCCACCGTTTGACAAAGAAGGCGACCGGAGTGTTCTGCTTCTTAATCATTGTTTTCAAGACAATTCTAGCGCCTTTTTACAGTCGTCTGAGCGATGCTTTAATGGTCGAGGTTGTGCAGAACAAGATTGCCCGCGCCATGCAACGCCGGGACGCACATGTCAAGGAAACCGGTGCTAGCGGATCGTGCTTCGAGACGTGCAAACAAGCCGCCATGCGTTGGACGTCAGAAGCCTTAGTCATTAGGTGTCGCTGCAGGTCGTTGAGATCGCATGATTTCGGGTGCCCCGAGCCGGTGTCGTAGAAAGCAGTAAGCCCAAGTGCCGACGTCGCTTCTGTTGCCGTTCTGTCGCCGGAGAATTATTCAGTGGCTACAGGAGCAGAACGACGCCCGGGAGAAGGAGAAGCGCCGCCAGCAGGAGGAAGAGCGCCGTGAGAGCCTCTTTGGTCTAGGACTCTAGGAACTTGATGGAAGTCTAGAAGGGGTGACAGCTGGCCTTCGAGCACAATACGGGGGAGGCACCTGTGCACGCCTGGATAAAGTATGACTAGTGACTAGTGAGATGCGTGCAAGCACGTACATCTCGATGTCGGCGAACCGCAGACTGAGCACGCATCTTCAGCCCAATGATGCCCAGGCCGGCAGCGAGAGATCGAAGAGCAGGAGGAGGCCGAGCGTCGGGCCCCAGGATGCGGAGTCAGAGCGTCCGAGATGGGAGCAAGCGAGGATCGCTTGAAAGACAGCCGCGCCTTGTTTGTGCGTTTCGCTTTGCCAGCGCCGGTTGTTGTATCTGAGGCTTGCATCCGTCAACTGTGGTGCAAAGATGTGCAAAGTTATGCTGCGTATTTTGTCAGTTCGTAAACGTCGTACATCAGACACGTGAGAAGGTTTCAGCTGTCGTGCAAAGGCAGACTGCATGACCAGATCAAGCAGACAGTCGAAGCTCGAGATATGCAATTTCTAGACTCTAGAATGCCTGAACATAGCCTTGTGGGCTCAAATCCGCTGTGGCTCGGCAGCCGTGGAGTATGGAACCGCGCCGACTGCTGCTGCAGCTGCTCCTAATAGATGTTTGCCTGTGCAAGCCGGTGCCAAAGGTCCCGGGGACACTGATCTTAAGCGTTCATGGTTTTGATGTTGCACGAACTGTGAGCGACGGCTCGTGACAGCTTGTGTGCACTAGTTGACGGTTTGCAAGGCAGTGTCTCAAACATGCGGTTCTAGCGGCTTACCCGGTCTCTCGACCAATGTTTCGCCATCTCCTGGCAAATTACTAGGAATTCGGGTGATAGTTGTATCAGTTGTAGCAGCAATAGTAGCAGCAGTCAGTCGTCGTCGCGGTGGTAGGAGTCGTCGTCGTAATAGTAGCAGCTGGCAGAAGCAGAAGCAGTAGTGGTAGTGGTTGTTCATTTGTAATTCCTCTAGCAGTAACTCTTTCTGTGGTTTTGGGTGCCAAAGTGAACACTTACATCTGGACAAGTGAACACTTAATTCTGGACGAAGTGAACACTTATTTTGGTGGGAAAGATACACTTATCCTGCTGTGAACACTTATTTGGCTGGGAAAGTGAACACTTGCCCTGGCCAGCTGAACACTTATTTTTCTGGGAAATGGAACACTTCTCCTGGCCCAGTGAACACTTATTTTGGTGGGAAAATGAACACTTATCCAGTGAAAACTTATCTTGGCCAGGTGAACAATTATTTTGCTGGGAAAGTGAACACTTATCCTGGCCAGAAGAAAACTTAAATTGATGGGAAAGTGAACAGGTATCCTGGCCCGGAGAATAGATTTAAGTGTTCACTTGTCCAGATTTAAGGATATCTACAAAAAATGTTCACCGGGCCAAGATACGTGTTCACTTTCCCATAAATTTAAATGCTTGTTCACTGGGCCAGGATAAGTTACTTCCCCACCAGAAGGAGTGTTGACCGGGCCAGGAGAAGTGTTCACTTTCCCACCAAAATAAGTGTTCACCTGGTCAGGATAAGTACAGTTTCCCACCAAAATAAGTGTTCGCCTGGCCAGGATAAGTGTTCTTTCCCAGCACAATAAGTGTCCACCGGGCCAGACAAGTGTTCACTGTCCCACCAAGATGGGTTTTCACCGGGCCAGGATAAGTGTTCACTTTCCCCACCAAAATAAGTGTTCACCTGGCCAGGATATGTGTTCACTTTCCCAGCAGAATTAGTGTTCACGGGCCCAGATAAGTGAATGTCCACCTGGGCAGGATAAGTGTTCATTTTCCAAGCAAAATAAGTGTTCACCGGGCCAGGATAAGTGTTCACTCTCCCGGCAAAATAAGTGTTCAGCCGGCCAGGATAAGTGTCACATTCCCAGCAAAATAAGTGTTCACTTGGCCGGATAAGTGTTCACAACCATACCCAATCATAACCCATATGGGCCAAGACATCCGGTCTAAAGAGGGGGGTCGCTTTACTGTTAGAAGCAGGCGCGAATTTGTTATTGGACTGGTGGGGGTACTAGCAGCAGCAGCGGGAGTAGCAGTAGCAGTAGAGTAGCAGTAGCAATAGCAGTCAGCACTCCGGCTCAGCTGTGTCCCAGGAGCGGGACTCATTTCTGGAGGTAGTAGCATCTATGCCATGGAGCAAACCTTGCTGTGGAACCCTGCTCAGAAGCGTGATGGTGACATTCTTACTGCAGCTAGCCACGCTAGCGCTACTGTCGACGCTCGCCAGCTGGGAGCCTCTATAGGCCCCAACAAAGGGTGCACGGGTCTAACAAATGCCTTTGTCCCTGGCCTGCAAACGCGTCGATCTCCCTGCGTGACAGCCATGCCAGCACAGACTCCTGTGACCAGAGGACAGCCATTTCTGCCTTCGTGCCACCCTCTGTGGGCACGGGGCGCAAGCCACGTCGCAAGCGCATGTTTACCAGCAGCAAGGAGTTGGCGCAACATTCCCTGTTGCTGCCGCAGGCAAGACATGGATACCACCCGCTCCTGGGTGCGTGCCATCAGGCCGCCCCATTGAGCGTACAGCGCCGCACCTCCTTCTAGATAGCCGGCCTGGTCCCAATTCCGGGGACTGAAGACTGTACCCGTATTGCTACATTGTCAGGCGACCCACAATGTGAGGGTTCCAGCTCTTTCCGTTGGAGCTGGGGAAGGCAACTCCCTTGCCTATCAGCGACGACCTCAGGTGCCGAAGCTAAACGGAATTCAGGTCAAAGGTGTGTCAAAAAATCCTTTTTGCGAGCTAGTAACAGAGCTATTCGACATGGACATGCGCAACCCGCACGTATGTAGCTTTGGTTTCCTTCAGATACCCGATGAGTGTTTAGCTGCAGATTATCGCTACTTTGTCCCGAATGCTGACGGAAAGCTGGCGGCGGCAACCTGCCCCATGGGATGACCTGCACTGGGTCCCGGCCCCACGTATGCTTCGAGATGTGGTTTGGATTCTGACGCGTGCGTTGTGTTCCGGCGATGCTCTGCAGCCAGACCTCCCTTGGGTGCGGAAACCAAAAATACAGGACTACACCTCTGTACAGAGAAAAGCTTGATCAACGCAAGATGCCATAACAGATGGCTGATGATGGCTGTAGTGACTGTCAATAGCTCTACGACCTTCTTCACATTTTCCACGTCCTCGCATTCTACTTTAATCAGATTTTGTACCCTGATTGAGTGAATGGATGCACTGCTGCACAATTCTCTTGACTGTTGAGCAGGTCGCAAGTTTGCAGCTATTCGTGTTCTTGCAGCACAGGTGCAATGCACTGCCACATACCTGACGCTCCGCTAAGCTGAGCGACAGGCTGCGATTGGAATGGCATGAGTAGCAGTAGCAGTAGTCGTCGTGGTGGGTTGTGGTGGTGGTGGTGAGGGTTGTGACTGGCGTGAGTGGCAGAGTGGTGGGTTTGATAGCGGTAGCCGTTGTGATCGTACTGGCAGTGGTGCGCGTAGTGAGTGATGGACGCAGATTTCTGTTTGACTGATGCTAGTAGGGCCCCGGCAGTTGAACACTTGATGCATGCATGGCTTTGCACTGCATGTAAAACTTGGGGATGCCATGAAGGGTTCTGCAATCCTGCGGCATCCCGAAGGTCTACTTCCACGAAAAGTTCCTCAACGAGTCCTGGGAGTCACGTTGGGTCCATTCTGAGAAGACAGGCACTTTTTGGGCTAGGGCAGAACTCTTAGGACTAGATGGAGAAAGAAATCGGATGGTACCAGTCTCGACCAGCAGAGCAAAGCTTGACATGCGCGACGTCTATACGCGCAGTTGAAATGGCCCACGGAATAATCATGGAATGCAGACTCAGACGGGCTAGGACTGACGAACATTTTGGGGCAACCTTGGCCCCTCCATTTCGGGTTCTGGCGAGGCATGGCGTCGTTCGAGTGGTCGGCCGGGCAGTGGTTTGCCAATGAGTCCGAGCAGCGAGGTGCTGCATTGGGTGAAACTTGGCCCTCCTTGTGTGCTACGCAATGGAGGGTGTATTTTTTAGTTTTCTTTTGGCCCCCCACGTCCCGTCACTTACACAGGACGCTGGCTGCATGTCTCTCCCCGCTGTGGTGCCGTGCGCATTTTTCGCTGATTTGATTTCTGGGCTCCGCGTCCCGTTTTCCGCACGAAATGCTGGCTGCGTGGTCCCTCCGAAGACAAGGAAGGAAGGAAGGGGTGCTGGGAGAAAGGAAGGAGGGAGAGAAGAAAGGAAGGAAGGAAGGAAGGAAGGGGGGAGGGAGGAAAGGAAGGAAGGAAGGAAGGAGTGTCGGGAGAAAAAAACAAGAAAGGAAGAAAGGAAGGAATGCCGGCAGAAAGGAAGGAAGGAAGAAGGGAAGGAGGAAAGGAAGGCAGGAAGGAATGAGTGAAAAAAGGAAGCAAGCAAGGAAGGAAGGAAGATAAAAGAGGAAGGAAGGGAGAACCGCCACACCCTAATCCCTAGTCCAAGCCGTACTAATTATACAACTAGTTACGAATAATAATAGTAAGACCAACGTACAATAACTATATTCAGAGAAGGCAACACAGCAACAACAACAACAACAACGACGATATCGTCAACAACGGCAGTAGTAACAGTACTAGCAACAGCAACCAGTAGAAGCACTAGAAGTACTGCTACAAACTGGAAACGACACGTGACGCTTGAACTTGGGTTTTTGTGCTGCTTCAATATGGTTTCATTTCCCTGATAAACAGAACTTTCGCCTTATTGTTAGGATGTACAAGAAAAGAAGAGAATAACGAAGCAAGAATAACAAAATGGAACAAGCACAGACATAAAGAAGAACAGCAAGAGAGAGACAAGGGGAGACATATGGAGACATAAAGAAAGAAATAACAAAAACGACAGAAAGAACGAAATAAACACGTTACAAGCGCAAGAGAAGAAAGCTTGCACGAAAAAAAGATGCACAAGGAAGAAAAATGAATGTCAAAACCACAGAAAGGAATAAATAACGAACGACATACTCAAATAATGCATACAAAAAAGAGATAAAAAACGATAGACAGAACACACAGACGAAACCAACAATCAACGGCACATGAGCAACCAACAAAAAACAAAGGACAGAAGGAAACAACGAAAAACAAATTAAGGAATGAACAAGAGAAAGAAAGACAGGACGAAAGACAGAAACAATGAGCACACAGGAGAATCAAAGCCTTTCTCAAAGGAAAAACACAATCCCAACAAGCTTTTTA